AATGAAAATGAATAAAGTAACAAGAAACGTGATAGTTTGTCCACCAGAGGGAACTCTGTAACTTCACTGTTAGCGATACACTTGCTTGGACCCTCACAAACACAACAACCAGCTGGTCCAAGCAGAGTTATGTAGAGCGTAAACAACCAATTAAATAAATGCACATAAAAACTGTTTGGGAGATTTGTTCGTGTTTCATGTGTCTGAAAGAAAAAATGATCTGATGCCCAAATTTGAGTGAAAACACTGGACTTTTCTGAGAATTGAGTAATATCAATGAAGCATAAAATTCAACCACTAAAACAAATTTATCTTCAGGAATGGCAATAACTGTAATTTGGCATCTTTGCCAAAAACCATAATGCTCTTTATTATTTTTTCTTCTTTTTGTAAAACATTTGAGAATTCATGGATAACAAGAATAATTATGTTTCAGAATTAAAAATATGACTTTCAACCAAATGTGTAAGCATACTGGTGGATTATCAACTACAGAAAAATAAAAATGATTTCTGTAATTGCTAATACTGTTAATTTAGGGCAGCTGTGCTATAAATCTTGCACCGGTTGGTGGTCTATTAAATTTGTTAACCACCATCAAATATTGGTATCAGTATCCAACTTAAAAATCAGTTCTATTGATTTTTTGGGAAAATGGCAAATGGCCTTTATAGCGCTTTACTAGTCCCTAAGGACCCCAAAGCGCTTTACACATCCAGTCATCCACCCATTCACACACACATTCACACACACATTCACACACTGGTGATGGAAAGCTACATTGTAGCCACAGACATGATAAAAAAAAAAAATCTAAATACTGAAAATGTTAATTATGTCTAAACATGAGATAAAGATAGTATAAAACAGTTTAAAAAAAAGTTGTGAAAAGTGGTATTTTACTTCAGGAAGAAAATAAATATAGAAATGAAGTTGTGACCTTCTGCTGCTGTTCTTTTTGTGTGTGCTTGACAATCGTCTTTGGTGGTTTGACGCCCATTTTTGCAGACGTGAACGACTTCAGTCGATTCCTCATGGTTCTCTGGAAGATCTCCTGGACTTCTTTTTCATCTCTGTTGATATCGAAATGGCTGCGACTGAATCTGTGCCGATGCTGTAAACAAGAGGACGAGAAGACAGCTTAATACTCCTTCACAAAATCAAAAACAGCAGGTCATGAAGTCAAGCTTAGGCTTAGGTTCAGCTCTGTGTTAATAGACTAGAAGATCTGTTGAGGTCATGCTCACAGTTCCTGCACATCTGCAAGCCACTTTGGAATGCATCTACCACAGTGCTTCCTTTATATACTACACTATATGGCCAAAAGTATTTGGTTGTCTGCCTTCACACATGTGAACTTGAGTGACATCCTATTCTTAATCCTTTGGGTTTAATATGATCTCAGCTCACCTTTTGCAGCTATAACAGCTTCAACTCTTCTGGGAAGGCTTTCCGTGGGTTTAGGTGTGTTTATGGGAATTTATTAGTGAAGTCAGACACTGATGTTGGACAGGATGTCCTGACTTGCAGTCTCCGGTCTAATTCTTCCCAAAGATGTTCTGGTATTTTGAGATCAGGACTCTGTGCAGGCCAGTTCTTCGACACTGAACTTGCTCATCTATGTCTTTATAAACTTTACTTCATGCACTGGTGCACGGTCATGTTGGAAGGGGCCATCCTCAAACTGTTCCCACAAAGTTAAGAGCTTAAAATTGGTCAAAATGTCTTGGTATGGTGAAGCATAGTT